GGCCCTCTTGCCCTCTTGCTCTCTACTTACAAAATAAATACCCAACTCAAAAGTTGATGGAGACACATCTGCATTTTGCCCACTTGCTCTGGTACAAATATCAGATTCTCTGGTCTTTTATGGAGTCACTGTGGTTTCTGAGTAGCTGTCAAAGAACTGACATACCCCCCACTGGAGTTCACGGCTTGAGTTGTGAAATATCAAGGTGCCATGAAAAAAAGGATCTTGGATTTACTGCAGATGTGTAACGAGCAATATAAGCCCAATTTACACATATGAGCATATTAAAAGTGTCCTATTAACTGAACAGGCAGTTAAAAATTTTTCAGCTCAATAGATGAAATGAAATTAACTTTATCTTATCCTTATTCTACTTTTCCATGTTCTCTATAAGTTAAGGTCACTGCTTAATTTACAGAGAACATAGTTGCTTCTTTTTCATTCCTGTTAATGTACACTATCTTCACATATGAAAAATAATAGTCTGAGTTGTATATACAGATATGGCCTTTAAATAAGAATGAATAAAAGCCCTATAAAATTAAGCTGTATAAGGTCAGACTATCACTTTTGTATAATGAGTTACAATCTCAAAGAGCTGTGGAATGCATATTTGTGGTTGAGTTCGAACTCAGGTCCAAAGTAAAAATCCACATATGAGGAAAATTAAAGCATCTAAAAGTAGTTTTTCAAAAATCACTGGTTCTTTAATATGAAACTGACTAGAAGTGGCACATTGGAAAATGTTTTATTTACATCTGTTGCATCCTTAAAACATCAGAATATTAAGAAAATTTCCAAAATGGAAAATAAGAATGCTACAGTCTATGTCTGTTAAACTTCTAGTTTGGGGAAATACATTCATGTTTTTAACCATATATATCTTAAGATAATATTCATGAGATTAATTTTGTGTATATTAGAACTACAAAAAATAATTATAGAGTATTTTACTATTTTGGAGAAAAGAATGAAATTATGTCTATCTATTAAAAATAAATTAAATATGAGTACTGAAACTTGTAACTTGCAGGTAAATTTTTCTGGAAATTTTTTCGATAAAATAACACAAATCATTTATGCTTTTGGATCCAATAAACACCAGTCAAAAATAAAGACGTGTCAACAGACCTAGCCAATGGGCAACTATCACCCCACGCTGAGCGGGTGTTTACCTTGCTCAATGCACAATCCCAGACAGACTCTCTGTTTGCCATCACACCCTAGTCTCCCAGCAAACACTTGCAAAGAGCATAACTCATTGGGAATCATTAATAACCTCAAACACCAAAACAAAGAAAAAGAAAGAAAAAGAAAGTTCCAGGAAATACAATTACCCTAATAATGCCCAGCTTTATGTATGACAAAATAATCATGGCTACTATTCTCCAAGTATGTATTCTGGAATATTCCTGGGTTAAGGCAAAACAAGAGAGAGCTGAGATAATCATGATATTAAATCTTTATTATCTAGAAAGGTCAACTTTCTGTCTTGAAGTTTAAAGAAAAGAGACAGAAAGAATACTCTGGGTCCTCACTATGACACAGACCTTGAATCCTGTGTCTTGGTGTGGGGTTTTGTGTGAGACAAAGAACTGAAACAGGTCCTCTGGGTAGCTGCATATTCTGTGATAAAATGGATCCCACAATACAACAAGTTGTCTTGTCCCAAGTGAGAGGCTAATTACTCTGACCGTATGTGTTTAACACTGTTTAATACACTCCCCAGTAGTCAAGTAATCAGTCTTCCCAAACACACTGGTGTTTCTCCCCTCTACTTTTGTTCCAGCTGTGTACCCACCCTGCATGAAACCTTCCCACGAGTCTGTCCAAGCCCCACTGCGACTCCTGAATATAATCGTTCTTAGACTACATAAATAACTGTCCTCTCCAGAACCCCTGTAACCACTTAATTTCTTTCCAGCACATAATCATATATTGTCTTAGATTGTTTTAAATCAACTTCCTAATTATAATACTGTTTAAGATATGCTTTGTTTACTCCAAGTACTGTAATTAACACATTTAACCCTTTCAGTAATCCTAAGGATCAAGGTCTACCATAATTCCCATTTTGCAAATGAGGGGAAGGGCTTAAATAATATACAAGGGTGTAACACTACTACGTAAGTAGAGCATGCACTCATATATAAAGCTCTCTCCAAAGATCTTGCTCTTTACCACTGTGAAATACGACCTCATGCAAAAGCCTGTTCTCCTCAACTAGGCTGTAAGCTAAGGTCAAAGGCAGTGTCTTTTTACTTCTTTTGAAAACCTCATACACTTAAGCTTAGGGTTGAACGGTTTTAAGAACTCTGAGAAAACCACAGAGAATGTTCCAGAATATTTGCTACAGGGTCTATAAGATGTACTACTGGGTTTTTATCTGTACCATACATTGTTAAAGGTCTAGTCAAGTAAAGCAAGAAGTCTCCAGAAGTTAAATTCTTCTGAGGAAGTTGGCTGGACTTTATCTGTAAAGTGAATAATGATGAGAGTAGCAGGGCTGCTTTTTAAGCCACTAGTTCTTCAGTTTCATATTTTGCTCATTTTACTCAAGTCTCTCTCAAAATCCCGCTGTAAACAAATGTTATTTTCTCTTCTATCTACTAATAACTTGTAAATTTTGTTTTCACTCAGTAGATGAATGTTTACAAAGGAAACAGATAAACAGTATTTTTCTTTCCAGAGTCAGCACAATATTAAAAACAGAGGCATACACCCACATCACTCTGTAAAGCCAAACTGCGATCAGGAAAGAGCAGGGCTGTCTGAGGGGCTGCCTCCTCCCCTAGCTTACAACCCCGAAGCTCCACAGAGAAAGCACAGTAGAGCTGTTAGAAGCGGGGAAAGTCATTTGAAAGTAAATTAGGACAAAACTAACGGATTGTGTTCATATATAACTACTATCAAAGGTTTTCACTAGCGTCATGGCATTCCCGGGAAATGAACAAAAACAAAAACAGAAGAGCCCTGCCTACAATTGTGTTAGCTCTTAAGTAATGTAACCACTCAAACATGGATAGGGTTGACAGCAATTCTGCATCAGGGTAACACTGACAATGCCACCCAGCTTCAGCCAAGCCATTAATGGAATTGCAATCCTATCAAGGGGAGTTGGGGCAAGGGGTGGATCCATCATTCCTAATATCATGCACTTACCCCCCAAAAAACTGATTCAGATGATTAACTGTGTCAGCTCTTTGTCAAATCAGCACTCAATCACTTTGGAAGGTAATTCTCTTTAACTCAACTCCTACTTTGCATTCCCATAAAATATGAAAGTGCATATTGCACCACTGGCATATAATAACTTAAAAGAAAAAGAAAATCAACAATTTGCTCCACAGCATAGTTTCTTACTGGACGCTTCATTGAATCCACCATTAATTTCAGTCCCTCCCCAAACACTCATTAAACATAAAATACAGCTCTCTGTAGAAATTAAGGGTTTTTATTTTTGTGTTTTTTTTTTAAAGATGAGTATAGATAAAACAAAATACAGGCTTCTAAACACTCCATTTCTGAGTTATACTTATCCTACTTGTTGGATCTTTCTGAAATGATGAATACACTAAATATTCTGAGGCAGGGCTATCCCACCAGGTATGAATAAACTTTCAGCAGCAACTCTTGCTAAAAGGAGCACTGCCAAATCACTATTAATATATATAATAGAAGAGGTTAGACTGTAAGCTAAAGAAAGCAGAGTAAAATATATCATTTGGTGAAAATAAATGATGCAAAACCAACTGAAATTTTAAATTGTTCACAACGGTCCCAAAGATAATTCAACTTTCCCATTGGTGTACACCACAAACAGAATCACACAGTACTTTTCAAACATCTTCACGATTTCTGTAAGGTGCATGAGAAAAGGTAAGGGTATCTGCTAAAGGTATCATGCAGCTAATTCTATCAAAACGATATATTTCTAAGCCTGTGGAGTATAACCTCATCACTCCAGTCTATTGTGCTCCTTTAGAAGTTAACTCATGATGAACAAAAGTCCCTCCCTTCCACTCCTCTGCTCTCTGTTTTCCCAAATCCATCTAGCCTAGCGTTTTGTATGCTGACCCAAACATTCCACAAATAATGCTGGGGTGCACACACTAAAGTTTTAGAGAGTTTCTGCCTCTAAAGTAGACCGTGGCAGAACTAAGGACACACGGGTTCAATTTCAAGGCAAATATTGGGCGGGTGGTTTGAAAATATCAATTCAAAGAGGCCTAGGGAAGAGAGATACAGGCATCCACCGCCACCACCCTCCCTCTCCCCTCCCCTCTCCCTCTCTTGTTCTCCTCCTCTCTCCTCGTCCCTCCTTGTGGCTCCTGACAGAGACAATCAAAGCCGGGAAAACTGGGTTTTAAATCAGTGACACACACACTGGGAATATGTAATTCCCCAGAAGGAAAAAAGAAACTGCTACAGAGGGGCGTGGGGGGTTGTTGGCAACATGTCTAAGTGACAACCCTCCCCACCCCCACCCTAATACAGCACAAATCCACAGATTCTTCCCCGACCCTCTTCTCCTTCCAGTTCCCGGTACTCTATCCAACTTGACCCTTAATCCAAACAACACAGAGATCCACAGGGCATCCGCTATGCAAGAGCGTGTCTCTCAGTAGATGTGCCCAATTTTTTGGAAGCCCCTGAATCCGGACAGTTGTACCAGGCAAGGGATCTCCCACTGGGGAAGGGGTGAAGAAAGGAGGAAAAAAAAGAGATGGAGACAAGAGGAAAGCGAGGCAGAGCTGCGCTCTATAGCGACTGGCTGAAAGGAAGATAGGGAAGAAAGAAAGGGTGGGAAGGAAGCGGGGCTGGGAGAAAAGAAGAAAGGGATGAAAGAAAGGCTGGAAGGGGAGAGGAGAGAGGGATGTTGGGAAGGATGAGGGCGGGAGGGTTGGGGAGCAGGGAGGGAGGGGAGGACGCAGAGGATGGGAGGGAGACAGGGAGGGAGGGAGGCAGCAAGGATGGAGGATGCTCTGCCCGGGACTCACCTCTGTGGGTCGGTGGGAGTTTCTCGCCCTCCTCCTCTCTCTCGTCCGTTCCAGCAGCTGGCGGGGAAACCACTGACGGGACTGGAGAAGCGGCGGCGGGGAAGAGGGCAGCAGCTGCAGCAGCCGCCTCTGGCCGAGGTGCGGTGCCTCCCGCTCCGCCCGCCAGCCCGGGTCTCCGCCTCACTCGCGGCTGGAAGCAAAGCCGCTCCCCCCTCCCCCCGCCCGCCCCGCGTCCTGCCCAAGCGCGAGCGGCAGCGGCCCGGATCGCCGCTAGGGGAAGCGGCCAGTGCGCAGGCGCGGCCGCCTGCTCTCTTGCGCGCCCCCGCGGCCCCGCGGCCCCCGCGGCTCGGCGCTCCGCGGGGCTAGGACAGGCTCGGGGCGGGGGCCACGGGCGCGCGCGGCCTGGGGAGCGCCGAGCAGGCGGGGCTGGGCGGGGCTGGGCGGGGCAGTGCTGGGGAGCGAGCCGGCAGCGCCGCAGGTGGGGGGAGGGGACAGTGGCGAAGGGGCACTGCCGAAGGGCGCAGGTGCCGTGTCCATGACAACAGCGTTACTCTGCGGGCGGGGACGCAGTGAGCCGCCCGAAGACCAGGGACAGACACCCACCGAGTGCAGGAGACGTCCCAGGGGAAAAGGTTATAGGGCTTGCAGAGCAGGAAGAAAGGGTGAGCGGGAGAAGGCGCGTCGCTGGAGGGGGGCAGGGTTCCAGTGCAGTGAAGGCAGTGACCGACGCAGGAGTGAGGTTTGGGGGGACAAAGAAGAGGGGGCTGCACTTTAAAAGGGACTAAAAGAGGATGGAAGTATTAAAACAAGTGAAACGTGCTCATTTCACACGCCTGTATTGAGTGCTGTCTCTGAAAAGGACGTTGTGAGTCTTTTATCAATTCAAAGACTATTACTGAGACCCTAATTTGTACCAGGCACTCAACTTAGGCATTTTGAGATATCCAATAATGTATAGTATAAGGTGTTCGTCCTCGTGGAGGTTATGCTTTAGTTGAGGAACTTACATGGAGATTTCATGGAGCACGTGCTCCGCCTACCACCATCAGCTGGGGCTTGATGATAGTGGAATGTAACTGTTACAGAAGTGCTAGAACCGGAAAAGATGCACAGCTATATCAAACGTGAAAGGTAAGTTATAGCTGCCTTTGTTCTGCCACAGTGCCGAGTGATTTTCTAAATCAAGAGAGAAAAATAAAGACAAACAAACCAATGGCAGTTTGGTATGATAGACGTGATACTGTATTTACAACATACAAACTGGCCTCCTCGCCTACAAGCATCAGTGTGTTTGTTCATGCACGGATTTATATCACATGGTGCACGCATTTTTTACACTTCTTCACTGGCAGCGTCAGATATGTTACACCCCCCTCTCATTCCCAACCTGGTATCAGCTGCAATTGTTTTAAGATTGTCAAGCCCCTGTAATTTATTCTCTCCAGGCGATTACTTTATACTTCTATCTCTGTCTATTCCTCTATCTTTCTCTCCCAATATATTTTTGCCTTTCTTTTCTATTGTCATCACCACTTAGCCATTTTTTAAAAATCCGTGGGATAAAGTGGACAGAAGTCACCAAATGTAGGATTAAGAAAAAAAAAAAAAAAAAAATCCCTCAACCTGGAACGGTGCTTCAGGACCATGGACAGTGCTGTCGCATGCTCCTCCCACCCAGCTAGATCCTGGGCTCAGCCTATGGATTCTGGAGAAAGATGCTAAGAAAGTATTGAGCGTGCTTCAAGAAGTAAATTCAGAGTGCCAAATGATTTCTGATAAAACACAGGAACAGAGTAGAAAACGAGAAGCGGGTACCGTGGACTGGAGCAAGTAGGAAGCAAGTGGGCTCAGCTAGATTTTGAGTAAAAAATGGGTAAGATTTAGGGAAGCACCAGAGGACCCTAAAGTGGTGAGAGGAGAATAGTTCTGTCTGTCAGGGAGGTGCTTGAATAAAAATAGGAAGTATCTTCCTGGAGTTGGAGAACACCTCTGAGTTCAGATGATCCAAAAACATGGAAAGGTTAAAAGCAGTCCCGGTTAAATGAGATACAATACTCTCTCAAGGAGGTTTTGTTGCTGTTACTCTGATTTCTTATTCTCTGGTCAGGCTGATGGAATAAACCAAAACATACAGATCGAAGGGTTATGAAACCTCCCTTTCATTGAGTTGAGAACATTCATTTATAGCTTTGTACATTGTTTTAAATTAGGCTTAAATTTATAATTCTATGTTTTAACTGGCAGCAGACAGGGGAAAAAAAAACCTAATGTAAACCAAGTGCTATCTTGTCAAAATGAGATGGCCTTTGTTTTTGTCTTTTAGTGACTTTTTAAAATATTAGATATTATTGGGGGAAATTTTTTAAGTTAGTTGTAAAATACTTATCTTTTTTTTTTTTTTTTTGGTCCACACAATTACTTTAAATTAGAATTAGTAAAAAATAACTGTGTAAAAGCCATCTCTTCTTTCTCAGCCCCCTGATCTTTCTCACTCTTCCTTCAAAATGCAACCAACTGTTTGTCAGTCAAATAATTATAAGAAATTACTCAGGCAATCCATTTAAGTAACCAACAGGCAAAGGACAGCTGAATTTTTTTTCTCTGTCTCCCAAAAATTTGCTAGCACTTTCTTTCATGTTTTGATTGAAGGGAAACCTCCAACCCCTACCTATTCTATGGAAACATCCAAATTGAGTATTTATTTATTTCTCTCAGATAATAGTATAAACATCCTTGAATAAATAATGGCTCTTATTTGATACTGAAAAGCTATCATTTTATTTGTTCCCATTCTAAACCAAGAGGAAAATTTTTAACTTTATTGCTTTTGTTTTGAGACTGCTTGTGAGTCTGGCTGTTTTCAATTTTCTTGATTTAAGTGTTGTCCTTCATTTCAATGACATAAACATATACAGCCCTAAGAAAACAAGTTTTCCCCTCCCCCACTCATATTAAAGACATGTCAACCTAAGTAAGAAGCAGAAGAGTACTGTTTAAAGTGCATTATTGTATACAAATGGAAAAAACACTGTATATATTTAACATGCAGTGATATGACATCTAGGTTTTTAGAACAAACTCCAAACCAAATCTAGTGAATCCTAAGTAAAACCATCCCTAGTGCTTATACATTTAAGTATCAGGTCTCTATACACTGGGGCCCTCATTCAGTCTGTCAGTTCCCAAAATTTTTCAGTCAAATCCTCCTGAGCAATTCATATTTTAAGTAGACTTTATATTTTATAGCAGTTTTAGATTCGTAGCAAAGTTGAGAAGGAAGTACAGAGTATCCATATACCTCCTTCAGATACACAGGCAAAGCCTCTCCACACTATTGATAGCTCGCCACAAGGAAACATTTGTTAAAACCTGTGAACCTTCATTGACATATCATTATCACTTTAAGTCCATAGTTTGCACTAAAGTTCACTCTTGCTGAAATTTTTTGGGTTTTGACAAATGTATAAACAATGTATTCACCACTGTTTGATACATACTCGTTTCGCTAGCCTAAAATTCTTCTATACTCTGCCTATTCATTCTTCCCTTCAACCCCTGGTGACCTCTGATCTTCCATAGTTTTTCCTTTTCCAGAATGATGTATAACGGGAATCATACAGTATGCAGTCTTTCAGATTCGCTTCTTTCATAGTAACGCACATCGAAGTTCCCTGCATGTCCTTTCATGACTCCCTGACATTTCTCTTCAGTGCTAAATAGTAATACTCCAATGTGTGGGTGTTCTCCAGCTGAATAATATCACTCCATTGTCTAGATGTTCTACAGTCCATTCAACTGCTAAAGGACATCTTAGATGCTTCCAACTTTTGGCCATTATGAATAAAAACAACATAGAAAGTTTACTTTTTAAGATCCTCCAAAATATGTCAGACCTTAGCATGGATATTGCTGCATGTGAGTAGTAAGTAAGTAAGTCAGTGTAAGTTTTAGTCTCTCAGCCATGTCCGACTCTTTGTGATCCCGTGAACTGTAGCTGCCAGGCTCCTCTGTCCATGGAATTCTCCAGGCAAGAATGCTGGAGTAGGTTGACATTTCCTTCTCCAGGGGATCTTCCCAACCAAGGAATTGAATCTGGGTCTTCCTGCATTGCAGGCAGATTCTTCACTGCCTGAGCCACCAGGGAAGCCCCATCTGAGTAGCACCCAAAGACGTCTTAAATGTTTCAGCTTATTTTCACAAGCCTTGCAACAGACTACTTCTATTGTCTATAAAATATCGGCCAATGAAGCTTTCCCTTTTGTTGTTTTTATGTACTCCATTATTTTAGAAAGCATTAGAATTCTTGTTTTCTGCAGATTCTACCAACTATAACTTTCCATCTTCAAACATATTTATCATTCATTAGTTGTTAAGTTGTGTTCAATTCTTTGCAACCCCATGGACTGCAGCACACCAGCCTCCTTTCTCCTCCACTATCTCCTGAAGTTTGCTCAAATTCATGTCCATTGAGTCTGTGATGCTATCTAAAGATCTCATCCTCTGCTGCCCTTTTCTCCTTTTGCCTTTTGTCTTTCCCAATATTAGGAGGTTTTCCAGTGAGTAAGGCTCTTCACATCAAGTAGCCAAAGCATTGGAGCTTCAGCTTCTGCATCAGTCCTTCCAATGAATATTCAGGGTTGATTTCCTTTAGAATTGACCTCTTTGATCTCCTTGGAGTTCAAGGGACTCTCAAGAGTCTTCTCCAGCACCACAATTCAAAAACACAAATTCTTTGGTGCCGACCCTTTTTTATGGTCCAGCTCTCACAAGTGTACATGACTACTGGAAAAACCACGGCTTTGTCTATACAGACCTTTGTCAGCAAAGTGGTGTCTCTGTGTATTTTTTAATACTCTATCTAGCTTTGTCATAGCTTTCCTTCCAAGAAGCAAGTATCTTTTAATTTCATGGCTGCGGTCACCATCAGCAGTGATTTTGTAGCCTAAGAAAATAAAATCTGTCACTGCTTCTGCTTTTTCCTCTTTGATTTGCCATGTAGTGATGGGATAAGATGCTATAATCTTAGATTTTTGATGTTGAGTTTCAAGTCAGCTTTTTCAATCTCCCCTTTCATGTACATTAAGAGGTTCTTTAGTTCCTCTTCAATTTCTGCCATCAGAGGTAACATCTGCATATCTGAGGTTGTTGAT